TTTCTAAAGATAGCTCAATTTACGAAACGTTTATTATATTGATTTAAGTTTCTGACATACAATTTTAACACAAACATCGAGTTATTCATTCAGAGCCAAATTTTATTTATATCATTGTGATTAATTAATTTATAAAAATAAAAAAAGACTTGCAAGTTTAAAGTAAAACCAGTTTACACTAATATTTTTATTTAATGTAATTTAAATAGAAAATCCATTCTTTTAGTACAATTAATATGTAAAATTGACGCATAAAGTGCTCGGCTAATAAGAATCGCAAGAAGAGTCATCGAAAAGATTGAGCCCGATTGATACGCGACAGGCGTCTTCTCACGTCTCACGATGCTTGAAAAAAAAAGCTGTGTGGTATCTAACAAAAAAGTCATGGCGTTTCCCACGTGACCCATTGATGCGAGGGAGGCCGAGTCCACCCTCCTGCTGATTGCAAGTGCTCATTGTTTCATGGAACAATAATAACCCGCCGCTCGCAATAATAACCTACGTGACAAGTGTGTGAAAACGTGGCGAGTGGAAATTGCGAGAAGTCGAAGAGAGATTAAAGAGAAAGAATAAATGACAGAAGAAAAATATATTAAGAAGAAACAAAAAAAAGCGTGAGGGTAAAAAAATCGCAGATTTTAAAACTAAAAACTAATCTACACTTATAAAAAATTTTGGACGAAAAAACATCAAATTTTGTTAATTGTTCACAAATTAATCACTGAACAATTGGTATTTTCGAATAAAGAGAAGGAAGAAAAGGAGAGAAAGGCAGCGAAGAAACAGAAAAACAGAGAGAGAGAGAGGTTGAGAGAAATACAGGAAGAGAAAAGGATGAAGAGAAGCAATGAGAAGAAACGGATCATGTAGGGGGCGGAGGCGTACAAAGACTGCGCAAAACACACAAACAGGCGTATTACAATAATGGCCCGTGCGTGTTGTACAAATACGATATCGGCTTGAGGGGTCCGCCGCGCGGGCACGTGACCCTCTCAAAGGGCTCGCTGCGTAACGACCACCCCCGACAGGGCTCGGGCCCCCTGCCAGGAACGCTCGTGTTCCGAGACCAGTTAGCGGGGTTAACTTACAACCCCGCGGCTAACACGCTTCGTCTCGACCCCTGAGAGTTAGTTTTTTTATATTTTTTTATTTTTTTTTCCGCACGTTTTATCGCGACGATTGCTCGGTAATTTCGCTCGTTTTCCGCGTTTTCGGGAGAACGAAAATTTCGCAGAGCACCATTGTAACCGGGACCATCATTAGAGGCAGACTGGTAAATTTAAGTTGATAATGACATACGTCGCAGAACGATAATGAATTCGCCAAGTGGAGTCTGAAATAATTGAGCGAATAAAGCTGTTTTACTGTTATCTTTTTTTTGGTAGGATTTTGTTAAAGAGAAGAAGAGCGATAGTTGGACGCTTTAAAGAAGAAAACTCGATAGAGAAATGCTTTAAAATCCTAAATCTATACACTTAGCTTTGATAAACTATTTTTGTATTTTTGCAATTATTGTATTACACACATGTTTAAAATTTTTTCTCAACAATAAAACTATTTAAGGTTCTAAAAAAATTATTCTTAAATTTTTTACTCATTTTTTAAAAAGAAATTATCTTATAACTTCTTATTGTTTCCTCGAAATTCTCATTACTCGTATCGCATTCAAAGGATTAATCGAATCTTACTCGCTGTATATAATTTAATGATGAAAAAACTTGACGAGCCCAAATACCGCCTCCGCAAAGGCGCGACAATTAATATCTCGGTAACGTGCTCGCATGGGAAAATTTCATGCGCCAGACGAGTGGGCGAGTATATCCGCTCTCATTAACAATCCTCGCCTTTTATCGTACCCGCTTTATCGTCCCGAGGGCATTTTTTACGCAAGATTTCCATAATAAAGAGAAACGCCACGATATCGATGACGGGTATCGTCAATACGTTTCGTATTCGTTCGTGATTCGCGTAAGGGAGCAATTGGCAATCCGAATGGACCAGCAAGAGCGTGCAAGGGAGGGTGTATATTCGGAAACTATTATGAGTGCGTTTCGGCACGTGCATTTATATGTTGTAAATCACTTGCCTTTCTTACTGAAAGAGTAGATAAATCAGTTAAAGAATTATGTTACATTGTTGATACAGCTAAAATTCTGAATTCACATTTGTAAAAAAAAATAAAAAATGTTTTATCTCAAAAAATAATTCACACACATTACACATTTTCTGTTCAACTATGCGCAGTCTATTTGCGACTTGAGATTTCGCTGTGATTGTAACGCTGCTCATTGCTTTACGTGTATCAACACTTACTAATGCTTGATAATTAATGCTCCACTAACAATAATCTCGCTTTTGTGTACAAAGTCTCTCTTCTTTTTTAAACAATTTAAATCTACAATCCACTTTCCACTCTTCTTAATCGCAGAAGGCATTTAATTGCAAGTCAAGAATTTGTCAAAATCGAACCATTATACGACATTGATATTATGAATTATTTTGAGTTTGAACGATTGTGTGTATGTGTGCATTTTGATTACTGTCAGAACGAAGATAAGTACTCTGTCAGGTGAGGCTTGTATTTACACGCACTGACACAAAATTGACGTGTGAAGCACACACTTGTGTCTGACAGGGAGGCCTTCGATAGAAACGAAGTCAGGACGGAAGCTATTATTCGAATATGCGCAGTGTACACTTATAGAAAAATCGTTAAAGGATAATACGTGCCATACAGTCCAATTCTACTAAAAGAAATGCCTTTTTTAACAAAATGGAAATGATAAATATATATTTTATACACTTTTAAATATTTATCACATAAAACATATAACATTTAATTACGATACAAATAATGTTAATAAAAAATCCATCAAGAGAATACTGGAGTGCTTGTTTTACCGACCGAAATTTTAGATTTTTTAGGCACACTAATCTTTTTTTTGGTTGTACGGAATGATATATCCTTTTTCAAGATTGAAGTATATACACTAATACAATGCGCAAGGTACAAATTTTAAGCAAAAAAAAAAAATTTTGTTAATGTATTTGTGTTTACAAACTTTTGGTTGAAAATAAAATTATGCAGTTTGTACATACAAAACGAGAGGCTGCGCATACTAGATTATACGGACGAATGACACGAGACCATTAAAATTGAGTTTAGAAATGTAGTATAACGGATTAACGTTCTTGAAAATTAATAGCAATGCATGCATATAAATCGAGGTAATAAGATAAAAGAAAGCAATACATTGACGTCACACGGACCTAGGTCACGGGCATAGTCTGTAGGCTATGCCGATAATGCCATTCTCATTTCTAGTTTTACCGAAATAATTACCGCTTTCGCGTCGGAGTTCGTCTGGCACTCAAGACGAACCATTAAAGATGCAAATTGATTGGTTAGACATTTCACGATTATACATTCTCGATCTAAAAATCGTAGGCATTGGCTTTTGAAGGCCAATCGAGATCACGATCCGAGAAATGTATAATCAATCAATTAACATTTTAATAAAAAAACGACAATTTTATTGGCTATATATGTATTTTTCGGTTTTATTCTTAGCATTGATGACCTATGACAAGATTTTTTTTAGTGTCTACATGTGTACAACCTGATTCCTGACTACAGTGTTTGCAATATCATCAAGCATCTTAATTTATCAAATTAACAGGGTGTCATAAAGTCATTTTTTAATAACTGGTTACATCAATACGATGTAATATTCACGATTTCGGTATTAAGTATACGTCAATGGGTCGTTTATAAAAAATTCTCTACAAGTCACAGTTGCTTTAAATGCGGCGCAACGGGGCAATAAGGATACATATAAAAGGATCACGGAAACAAAACTTTGCTAGTTCTGTGCAGAATATTAAATAAAGATGTTTAAACACACGATCGTTTACATTGGCGTATTATTG